ATTAAAATTACCTTTACTATAGTGAACTAGCCAATTAAATTCTTTAAAAAATTCGTTATAAGCTTATAATGAAGTTGTTATCCAGATCCTAGAATTCGTTATATCAAGAGTTCACTGTATCTTACCTTCTTTATCTTTTAAGATAACTGACACGTCTGTAAACCATTCTAATAAATTAGTGATATACTTGAAATTGCCTTTTATGGCAAAATTAGATGGTTTATCAGCTTTCCATTCAAGTGTCTTGATTGCTGGGTTATTTAAACCATCTAATTCACTGCCAGTATCTAAAAAAAAATCAGAAATAGTTAAGTCATTTATATTAGCATCTAGATATTGTAAAGATAATAACCACTTATCTAATTCTTTCGATTCCTCTTTCTGAGCCTTTCGAGACAAGACATTATTCGTATCAGTGGTGAGAGCTTAGATAATAGCTGATCATATGTTTTAGGCTGGCGAGTTACTGGAGGTAGTCTATTATTCATCAGTTCCTGTTTTTTTTATAAATGTATAATACCACACACTTTCTTCTAGATTATCATAACCACCCCACCATATTTCTCATTATCTGAACCTAGGGATGTGAATTAGGGGTTTATAGATTCAAAAGGCTTGAAATAAGAATAATTGAAATTAGATCGTGCAATTGGTTTATTAGAACAACTGCCTTTACTATGACCTGTTTTCCCACAAATATCACATTTATGAATATTTAGTTTCTTAAAATTGATTGTTAATTTATTTACAGCATCACGAGTTTATCAAATCAATCTCAATCCTATTAAATCTACTATAGTTATCATTTTGCTGTAGACAAGATCTTTGAAAGGTTTTACAGGATAATCTGAATTTAAATCTTTCTTATTAAGTAAACCCACTTCTTTTAAGTATTCAGCTACATAATAATTTTTCATACCTTTCTCTGTTTTCAATAAAGATGGTAAACCTTTCAGTTGTCTAACATGTTCAAATATTTGTAAAACAGGTAGCTATACTTTCTGTGGTTGGAGTTTTCTTCTATTTCAGCTTTATGATCAGCCTGCTATTTTGCTAATTTATCTTCAAACATTTTTGTATATCAGCTGAAACAGATACCAGTTGAGAAACAACTGAACTTACAGATACTTGAGGAATATAAGATTGTATAGATACTTGCTCCCATTTAAATTTTGTTCATGCTCCAGCCACATATTTTTTAGCTTGGTAAAAAATACATTAATACCTGCAGGATTAGCAATTCTTATCATCATGAAAAAATCACCAGTTAATTGACTCTTAAGAAATCCCAAAACTTGTGCATTATTGTCTGTTACTCCTAATAATAGTGGACAAATTCTAGCTTCATAAGTGTCAGGATTATCATAAGGCTGATATCTTTCTTGAGTCAACCTTTGAATAGCCGATTGCTGATTTCCAACTGTCTCTCACTGGTATTTTACTCTTATCCAAGTTCATAAAGTATCTGGAGAATTTATAGCTAAATTACCTCCTATAAGACTATTATTAGCTGGTATTGGAGCGTATTTTCCTCCCATCATAGATTTTAAAATATCACACTGTATTGCATCATCAAAATCCCTTGCATTTACAGTTTCAAGAGCTGTCATATACCCTTCAAGATATACCCATGATTGAATAACCTTATTTAAGTATTCATTAGGTGGTTTTTGACCTATATAAGGTTTAAATTTTGTAAAAGCAGGAGCAATTAATTTTAATACTGGTAAATGTTTACCTTCTACCATATTTAGTAGATTATTCTGAAATGCTAAAATTTGGTCCTGTAAATTTAAAATATTCTGGCAAGAGATTATTTCCTGAGCCTTCCATTTTTGATACTGATTAAATACTCAGGCCCAGTTGAATTCTGCCAAGTCAGCCACAGCTTTACGCTTTTGATTTATTAGCCGAAGGGCTATCTTTTCTCATAATAATTCACCAATACAGGTTTGCTTTCTGTTCACCAGATCTGAGCATTAGTTCGCAACTTTTGAAGGTCACTAATAACTCTTTTTCCACTACTTCAGTAAGATTTCTTCATATTATTTTATTATCCCTTTCAGCCTCAACATTATATCATCTCCGTTGCTTACGAGCTGAGTCCTAATGCAAATTATTATCTTTTCGACAAATCTGTCTTATTGTTCTTTTTATTTGACTGGCCAAGACTTCTTTATCTATTGTTAGATTATCTAGATAACTATCTATAGCATTTGCTAGCTCTATGATTGTAGCCATATTATCATCAGAATTATATTGATCAGGAGAATTCCCTCATACTGGTGAATTTTTTCGTGATAAAATAAACTTGATCCTGCATCTCAATTTTTCTACCTGTTCTTCAAATTTTACCAATCGCTTTTTTAAGGTAAAGATTTATTATTCCTTATTTCACACATCCTTCTTAGCTTGATATAGCTGACTTTTTAGACTGGAGATTTCAGATCTTAGCTCTGCTATCTCTTCTTCTAAAGCATTATCAGAACGCTCTATATCTTTATTGAGATTTTAGATTTTCTGCTCACACTGGCTATATTCACGCTTTAGTTGAATAAACTACTTCTCATTCAGGTGATTATTTTCTACCTCTGTCTGTAATGCATCTCGAAGATAATAGTTATCCTCCTCTAACTCAGCTTTATACTCTACACGTTCTTCTCTGCCTTGAATAAGGTTTGTGAAATATCATTCTTTTTTTATTATTATAAAAGAGATTCAGAATGGAAGAACCCTTAATTTATATTGATCCTCAAAAACGCATGATTTTGACCGAAAACTTGCCTTACAGAAGCTGTATTATCAACCTGAAGGCTTTTACCAAAATATTAAAAGATTATGGGATGCATGTAAAAAAACTAGACATACTATCCTATTAACTGATGTAAAAAATAGCTTGATGCTCAAGAAGTATATCAAATCTTTTGTCCTTCACCTAAGTATATACCTTATGCTAGCCATTCTAGAATCACAAAACTGAATACTATACATCAGTGTGATTTGATCGAAATACCATATGATGATTATGAATATAGATTTAACATACAATGATCCAATCTTTTACTATGTATTGTTGGTTATAGACTGCGTGACTAGGTATAAAGATTTTGTTTTTAACGTAAAAAAATAATGAAGAAGTTGCAAAAGGCTTTAAGAGTATTCATGATAATCATAACAAATTCCTTAACTGGCCTCAAAAATTACAATATGATAAGGGCATTGAGTTTATGGGATATGTAACTTTATTAATAGATAAGTATGGTATTAAAATCTGAAGAATTATAGCATGTTTCAGATATACTAGCTTAGCCTTTGTTAACTGTTATGCTGGATTATTTGAGTTTAGTGTTTTTAAAAATATGTATTCAATAGAGTTTCTCATATCTACTGGTGAACGTTGTAGGGAATGTAAATGATTTGCAAGAAGAATTGTTGATAATATGAATGATACCCCAACTCAGTTAATTGGAATAAGTCCTAATGATTAGGGTTCCTCAAAATCGAATCGAATCAAATATTTAAGCAATTTGAATTTGATTTGATTTTTTCAAATCGAATCGAATCGAATCGAATTGAACTCAAATATTTGATCGAATCAAATCAAATTGAGTCAAATATTTGTCAAATCAAATCAAATCAAATCAAATATTTGATCGAATCGAATCGAATATAAAAAATTTTTTAATTTTTTACAATGATATATTAAAATAAAGTTATTATAAAGGTTTAATTAAGAAAATTATAAGTAATTGCACTAAAAAATTTCAAAAATAGCTTTTACAAAGTAATTTTAGTAACAGGTGAATTTTTACTATTAAACTTAGTAAAATAACTCCGCAGTCTCAGTTTTACTAAGAAAATTTAGTAATAACCGCCATTGTGACTTCAGTTTACTAAAAATACTTAGTAATAATCGCCATTGCAGCTTCAGTTTACTAATAAAACTTAGTAATAACCGCCATCGCTTTACTAAGAAAACTTAGTAATAACCGACATCATGGCTTCGGTTTACTAAGAAACTTAGTAATAACCGCCATCTCGGCTTCGTAACTATTTTATTATTAAAAAATGTTTCTGAAGCTATGGAGGCATTTTTTTACTAGGTTTCTTAGTAAAAAAATGTTTCCGAAGCTGCAGAGGCATTTTTTATTATGTTTTCTTAGTAAAATAATGTCTCCGAAGCTGTAGAAGCATTTTTTATTGTTTTCTTAGTAAAATAACGTCTCCGAAAGCTGTGAAGGCATTTTTTACTATATTTTTCTTAGTAAAAAAGCATTTCCAAAGCTGCAGAGGCGTTTTTTACTATATTTTTCATAAATTTGGAACTTAAATGCGATGTAATATTCTGTAGATTTACGATTTTCGTAATATTTTGGAGTATTATGTTGTAAAACTACGCAAGTTTACGAGTTGTAAGATTTATGAAACATTACAGTGAAATCCTACGTAGGGTTATGGGTCGTATTTTTTACGTATTATTACTGTCGAAATCTTATGGTATCGTAAGATTTATGAAACATTACGGTGAAATCCTACGTAAGGTTACGGGTCGTATTTTTTACATAATATTATGGTCGAAATCTTACGTATGGTTACGGTATCATAAGATTTACAAAATATTACAGTGAAATCCTACGTAGGGTTACGGGTCGTATTTTTTACGTAATATTACAGTTGAAATCTTACATAGGGTTACAGTATCGTAAGATTTACGAAACATTATAGTGAAATCCTACGTAGGGTTACGGGATCATATGAAATCTTACGTAGTAATACGATTTCCCATTATAAAATTAGTGATGCATGTATTGCACTATTTAATATATGCAATAAGAACATACTTTGTATCTTTTATTGATTCATA